GGGGGGGGGGGCGGGAACGGGGCGACGCATGCCTTCCAACATCCGGCGTCCCAAGCCACCCGGGATACTTCTTGCTGTGCGGGGCCCCCGGGACAGAGCATGTGCACGCGAACACGCATGCGCGAGACAAATAAAAGAGAGCGCGAGCGAGAACCGAGGCCGAGAGGCCCCACGCACCCCCGCGGGCCGAGCGCCGGAAGAGACTGGCCAGGGCGCGCGCGCCGGCGCACGATCGTACATGGGCGCCGGCCCGGGCGAAATGCATTCTTTTTCCGGCCCGGAGCCGAGGGGGGGGGGGGCCAGACGAGCGCATATGAGCCCATTGGCAGTTGCGCGTGCGTGATCGGCTCCCCTGGGACTGATGCATCGCGTGATAGTCGAGCGTCGATCATTGTCGGCGCTCCGCGGACACGTTTTCACGGACTCCCCGACCATCCGTTCCGCATTTCCCCGTCCCTGGTGTTCTCCGGGATCTCTCCGCACAGCCCATGCTTGTCCATATGTCGGCCGGGTGCCCCCCCCACTCGCCCCGATCCCAGTGCGTAGGCTCTCGGCCCAGGCCCCGGGGACCGTGCGTCACGAGAAATTTACGGGAGCAGCAAAGGGGGTCCCCCCGCCCCGCCCCGGTGGACGCGGCAACGCCAGCGATCTAGGATTTTAGATCCTCAGCCGGAAAGCAGATATGCCAAAGGGGACACTCGCTGGCTTGTCAGCACGAAACGTGCCCCGTCCGATCGAGGAAACCGGGGAGCATGTGCGCGCATATGCTTTGGTTGTGGCCCCCGGCCGCCGGCCGCCACCCCCGCCCTTGACCGGTTACGGGGATGGTGTGCTTCGTGCTACACTTGACTTGGTTTGGCGGCGGCGGCGGCGGCGGCGGCGGCGGCGGTGCTGGCGGAAGCCCACCAGTGCGCTGTCTCCCAGATCACAAGCCCTCGGAGATGCACGATGGCTCGCCATCTTGAACGAGCAAGGATGACTCCCTCGCTCGCCCCGCCTCTGTCCGATGATCAAACATGACTGGAACTTGGGCATGCCGGCGGCCTTCAGCCCATTCGCCTCTCAACTCGCGAGCGGTGGCCATCTAACTCGCCCACCTGCTCACCCACCCACCCACCCACCAAGGACCTTGGGCGCCACAGGACATATTTCAGGAGCGATGCTTGAAGTGCTTCCCCAGAGTGCTAAATGTTCCGGCCAAGCCTTCCTTCCGCCGCCCCCCCCCCCCTCCCCCCCTCTCCTCCTCCCCCTCCCACGCCCCGGGCCACCAAGAGCCACGCATAATGGCTGCAATTGCTCGCGCCCTGCAACGCACCATGCAGAGCTACGCCGAAGCCAATGCCCAGCATCCCCTGCTGGTCAAGGCCCTCACCTCTGGGGTGATGTTTGGCGCTGGCGATTGCATCGCCCAGACGTTGGTTCCCCCGCCGAAGGGCGATCCCCAGGTGTACGATTGGCGCCGGACACTGGCATTTGCCTCGTTTGGGCTGCTGCTAGCCGGGCCGACCTTCCACGTGTGGTATGGCCGCCTGGACCACCTGCCGAAGGCCATCGCGCGAGTGCGGAATGCCGCCACCCTACGCGCCCCGGCGGGTGCGGTCACTGCCACCACGGCCGGCCCATCCGGAGGGTCGCTGCTGGCGGCGCGCATGAGCCTCCTACGTCAGCCGGCCTCCCCGGCCGAAGTGGCCGCCGTGCCGACGCGCTATGTCATCGCCACCAAGGTCGCCTGCGACCAGTTGATCTTCGCCCCGGTTTTCCTTCCGGTTTTCGTTTTCTACACCGGCGCCTTCCGCGGTGGATCGGTGGCCGACTCGGCCGCCACCTTGCGGCAGACCTTCTGGCCGACCTACCGCATGGACTGGTGCGTCTGGCCCGCGGCGCAGACACTGAACTTCACCTTTGTCCCGGTTCCCCTGCAGCCGCTCATGGTGAATGTGGTCAGCCTCGGCTGGAACACCTTCCTCTCGTGGTTCATCGGCGGCAAGCAACAGTCTTGATGATGGCGCATGCGCGCATGCACACCGAGCATCTCTCGGTACACCCGTCCTTGTTTTCGCTCAGTCCCCCCTCCCTCCCGGCCGGTGTTTCCTGGCTGTTGCGGGCCTCCGCGCCCCGTGAGATGTCCCCCCCCCCCCCCCCGACCGGGAGTATGCGCGCCACGCCGCAACACCACACACCACCACACACTGATACTTCTCCACCAGTGTGCCGTGGACGAGCCGTGTTTCCCCAGTTGCCATCCTTTCCCTGGGACACGTCACGTGATGTAGCCACAGCCCCCATTACCAATATTATTCCCTTGCCCTTTGTGCGGTGCCATGTTTCCCCCCCAACCGCGCTTGTGTCTCCCCGCCCGTGCCCCCTCCTCGTTGAGTCCTTTTTCTTGTCGACCACGGTCCCCAGGGTGAACAGAGGGAGAGAGCGAGGGCGAGGGCGAGGGCGATAGACGCGGGATAGACGGCCGCCCCGGGGGTGCGTGGGGCAAGTATGGGCGTGGCCCGGGTGCTTGTCGCCCAGGCGCCGCCTGGAAAAGGCACGGAGAGAGAGCACCGAACCGGCAAAGCGTCGCCGGCTCGTCTTGCGAGGTTATTTTTGGATTGCTGGCTCTTGCTCGCCCCCCCCCCCCCCCC